GAGATGAGGCATCATTATTAGGGCAACTTTAGGCTCTATGGAAAAGGATTACATAACCATTGAAGTGGGTGTCCCCTTCCAAGATGGAGACACAGCCAAACAGATTAAAATGTCGCTCTGTCTGGACTGACCTCTTAATTAAATTGAGCCCAACAAAAGAGACATGAAGCAACCTTTTGTCTTTAAATTTCAATTTTTAATCCACAATCATCATATGAATGTACTATTCTTTGCATGTGAAAATCATAACCAAAATCAAATGAAATTCAAATTATTTGATTAGCACCAATTAAGACATCTAAAGGCCCTTTACAGTCAATTTAATCATATCAGCCAGATATGAACGTACGTTTCCTATCTTAAGAAACTTGCATCAAGGCAATGACTTGCAGTATTCACGCCTCCTGTATGACCATGTAGCGACAGTTGATAGTCGCTTGCATTGTGTTTTTGACTTTGCAACAATCCCTAACAAACAGAGCATGCATGACCTTCAGCAACATCTGGACTGGACACAGAACAATACCTCCTGAGAGGACTTGGCTGCTTCAGTGACTAAAGCCAGATGCTGCATGCTTTAATAAATCCGCTGTGCAGGAAGTAATCCCATCTACAGTCACCTGTAAGGGTAGCAGCACCAGGGTGGTAGCTGATAAAGAAGATCACCTCTGAATGGACAAGATATGACGTCATCAATATCAGTCTAGATAGGGTCACACAGCCATGCTTAAGGTTTCCAGACTTCAGTAAGACACTATTAGAGCATTATCAACAACTGGATAAAACATGGTAAGGAGCGGTTATTAAAACTACTCTATCATTTCTGACCAGTGTGTCCAGTGTTCAAGATGAAACCTATCATGCAAAATAAGGCCTTGTTTAATTAAAAGAAGTGGAGGTCAAAGAATGTGGATTTTTTTAAATAACGGAGCCCTTGTAGAAGCCTAGAGAGGCCTTCCAGGTCTTTCCAAAAGCTGACTGCTCCAAATCTAAAGGGATAAAAACAAAAGATTAGAAGAAAACAGACTTTTTAAAGCATGCAGTTGAACTTTACAAGGAAGTCTGCCTATTCGGAAAAACAAAGAAATTAAAATGAAAATAGCTAAAGGGTAATGCTCACCTACTTTTTTATGCACTGAGTCAGATTGTACATTGAGAGGCATGCAGCCAGGGCTTTATGCAGCCTGACGACAGACACTGGGCAATGGCGAAGTGCTAAAAATAAACGCTCAGGTCAGCGGAGCCGGGCATCCCCATAACTGGACAGGCTGCCTGCAGGGAGTTGGCTTTGTTAGTAAAAGGGCTGGAAAAGAAACGCTGAGAGCTGAAAGATTACTGTTTAAATGATTCCTCATTGGAGTGTAGAGCGACGGGGGTGTCAGATGGGGGAGTTTGCACTGCAATCAAAAGGTTTTTGGTTCAAGCTCTGGCTTTTTCAGTTGTGTCCTCGGGCAATACCCTTCACCCCCATCATCTACTGATGTTCAGAGGGCCTGATGGCATCTGTGTATTGAAGCCTTGCTTCTGTCAGTGAGACCCAGAGCAGCTGTAACTACCATGTAGCTTGCCACCATCAGGACACCGACAGGACATCCAAAGGCATTGGGATAATGGTGTAATTCAGCGGTGGGTGACACTGGCTTCCAATGTGGAGGAAAGATCTACAATAGAACACACCACTGGTTTTTGTCTCATCTTCATGAAAACTTTATCTCCAATTTCAGGGTTACTGGAATCCAGATCCTAAACTTAATTAAGAACATCTTCTAAATCGAAATCCACCCGCTGACACTCCAGTCTACATGTAACACAGGTAAACACACTGTCCAAATCTTGTTGTACTTTTACTAGAACTTATGCATCTAACCTTTTCCTCCCCTTTATCCAAAATTAGGACACAGAAGTAGGAGATATCTGGTTCTCAAAGCTAAATGTGATGCATTTAGGTGTGATGAAGATGACATGCTGAGGTGAAATTAAGAAATCAATGGTGGAAAATTGAGATTTGGATGGCTGAACATGACCTGGTTGCTGGTGTGATTGGGTTTTCACACATAGCCATCCCTGAGGCTCAGAAAATGCTTCCAGAAAAAAATTGATTCCAGATTATAGCAAAGGAACAGTTTGTCATACAACCATTCATTACAAGCAGAAAGGGGTCAAGTAGCAGACGGCCATATCAGGTCTAACTGCTGTCAGCTGAGAAAAGCAAAATTGGTGGCAAAAAGATGGACTCATGGATCAGTCTTCTTTCTTGTAGTCTCACAAAGTTTGAATATTACATAAAATTGATTAAAAAAAATTTTTTAAATAATTGTAATTTAATTCTCATAATGCTGCCCAAAGGATTAAAGGAGATATGTGGTAGGAGAAGCTGCTCCAGCAACATGGAAAACTGCAGCCTTAGGGCGATTGTTTGGCAAAATCTTTTTGAGAGGTTGGGGGAAGCGTCCTAAGTGGACTGCAGCCAGATCAAGAGTCACTCAACACTGATTAATTCTACACATTTAATCAAAAAATAAAAATCCCAAAGGGAAACTACAATGATAAATTAAGAACTGGACTGTTGCTCAGACTGTTGCATTTCATTTGGGAAGACCAAGAACTGAAGCAGCTTTAAGCCCAAGCAGGACTTCCAGCAGTTATCTGTGGTGTTGATCCGCAGAGTTTCTGAAGTCTACAGTAAAAAGCCATCTATTTGGAGTTCTTCATGCCTCCTTCTGCTGACATGGAGAAGCTGATTTGGTTTTCCATCAACAGAACCACAGACTGCCTTAATGTCGCTCTGCATGGATGCAGTAAAGTATAAAATATTGAGTTCAGAGATTAAGAAGCTTGACATCCATTTAAAATGTCATTTCCACTGATCAATTTTATTTAAAAATCTCCAAGATTTAGGGTTTTTATTCTGTCAGCCATGATCATCAATAAAGAAAAAAGCTACAAATATCTCATTTTGTAATTAACCCATAAGAACTTTTACAAGATCAATCTTTATTTGTACCTTTAGATCTTATGATCATCGATGAGTTTGAATCTGGACAACCTGCACCTTAAGAGCTTCATCAGTCCACATTACAGCAGACAAGACTGCAGTCTATATACAGCAGATGCAACGGCTCACTAAAATACTTTTTTTTCCATTTTGCAGCAGTTTTATTTGTTCATAAAAATGCAGCTCAGCTGTTCCCTGAAAAAAGCTGAATGTTTATGAGACCCTAAAAGAAAATCACCTCCTCGAGTTTGACAGAGGGACACAAAACCTTTATGAGAAATCGTCAAAATGACAGTCCTTTCATTGGCTTCATTTATGTTGACTTGAACAATCAAAGCCTCTAATTAAGGCAGTTTTGACTAACAGGCTGTGATGAAGCTCCGCTCTGACACAGATCATAAACAAGAGACAAACATTTACTGCAACGTGTTCATTTATTTCACTCCACTACAAAATTATATAGCCATTTAGACTATCGTACAATCTCCACATATACATTATGTACAGTTAAAGGTAAACTGAGAGCACGTTACAAACAGTGTGCAGTGAAGGTAGTCATTTTGAATAACAAAGGAGCGTACAGGTCAACACTCCATCAGACGCTCTACGATTAAAAATCCTGTGTGGTTCTGATTTATTTTTGAAGGATGTCCTCAAATACTGCTGTAAAAATAAAATCCAATTAGTGCAGATTGACCGCTGAATTTTTGCTGTAATGGAAACTAATATTTATAAGAGACTGTATATTTTATTTCCTTTTCCTGAGCAGTCAGATTAATGTGCCAGTTATACAGTGGCATGTTTCTCTCAGAGGCCTTCAGTATTTAACTACTTAGTTTTATATATCTATTTCTCTGTTTAGTAAATTAATTTCAGGCCATGAGATTAACAGAAATCAGAGTTTGTTTTTAGCACAGATGTCATTGATGTAGTGTTTAAATAAGCTCTTTACATCACCCACTTGTTGGCACCAACTGCTATTTTATTTAGAAAGATTAAATCAAATCCAACCAAGTAAAGACATTTTTTTAGTGGAGGATAAAAAATATATTTCTAAACTTTTTTTCAGAGGACCCATTTTCTTTCCTCCTTCCGATATTCCAGGCATGTTAAGCCAATTTTATGCGTTTATGCCTTTTAACAATGAACCAGATGATCGGTTACCATGTGGATATGGCAAAATGGTTGTTATGGAAACTTTGGGACCCCAGAATGCAACCCTTTGCTGTTTTACTGTAACAACTCGCCTCCACGTCTATTAAAAAAAAAGGTTGGATTTTTTTTTAAAAAGGTCGTTATGAGATTAAACCAGTAGAGTAAAAGGTGAATGAGCTTCACGGCTTTATGTCAGGACCTTTTTCAAACAGGATTAGGATAAGGAAAAGCTCTCCATGAGCTACACAACCAGGTGGGCATGATTTCAAACAGGCTCCCTAAAACTCTCTTCTGTAACTTATTTATTTTTCATTCGCAGTAGGAAAAAAAAAACAAAAAAAAAAAGAACTAGGGATTCAGCTGGATTTCATTCATCAGTCTAACCAGGGTTTTTTTTGAGTAAATATAATTTATGCCTTTACATTCAGGAGAATTTAAACCACTATACAAGTAAATAATACAACCAAAATGAATTAACGTATACCGTAGTCTTAACATATATGTAACCTTGTAAATTAAAAATATCAAAGACAGACTAATTGCTTTCATTCTTGTGAGCACTGTGAATAAAGAACAGTTCATCAACATATGACAGAAATAAAAATGTAATCCTTCTAGTTTTTAATTCATAAAGCTGGTGTCTTCTGCGTCACTGCAGCGTTAACTAAAAGTGGGACAATCAGGACGTTTGAGTGGGTTTTTTGCCACGGAAGAAATTCTTCAGCTGCCAGGTTTACAGAAACTCTTTTACAGTTTTAAATTTCAAAAGGCAATATTAAAGTGCATCAGTGCATCTAAAGTAGAAGAGTGAAAGATGATGTGATGAGAAAAGCTTTCTTTTTGGGAGGAGCTGAAGGAGTAAATAAAGGTGCTATAATAAAGAATGGCAGGAAGATACACTAACTGGACCTTCCTCCTACATCCTGAACACAGTTGAAGCTTTAGTCAGATGAACATCTCTCTTTATGTAGACGAATTTAGATAATTTTAAAAATCCTATAAACAGTTGATGTTTATTTTATTTTTCCAGCACCTTAAAGGAAAGCTCTTCTTGACTTGTTAGTGAAGTGATAATCAGACATTGTTAGGTATGGTTGTAGAATGTGTCGTCAGCCAAGCAATCCACACTAACTCTGTGCACGGACCCATCCAGCAAAGGCACGACTTCCAAAACAGCCAGATGATTCATTCTGTTTAATTCTGTTACCTGAAACCTAAAAGCAGGGTCTCTAGAGCACAGTGCAGCTCTTTAGTCTGAATGAGCCGGACCACTTCTCTCTCTAAAGCTCTCTCAGAGCATATTCAGTTTTTTTCAGTCAGGTTCTGGAGGAGAAGTTGATCCCAGTCAACATCTTCTGGATGGTCTCCTCCTTCTTCAGTATGTTGGACTTCACAGCACATATCTTATCCTGATGGTCCTTAATAAGTTGTTCCAGCTCAGCTAGCTCGGCTTTTAGAGGCTCCACGGCCCGGTCTGTTTCTCTGCAATGATAAAAATACACCAGGGAAACACAAAGCAAAGATTATTTACTGCAAATGTGAAATTAATGGTTCATTGTTAATGACCAACAAATAAACAAAATGGGCTGTTAACAGAGTTAATCTGTAGGTCAGCTGGAAACGGCAACAATAAAATCATGAACATGTGCAAAAAGCCAACCTCTGCTCCTGCAACAAGGCCTGTGCATGCTCCTCATTCTCCCGCCGCCAGCTCTGCAGCTCAGCCTGCATGGCATCCACGTCCTCCTGGATGTAGTCCATGATCTTTCCTAGAGGTAAAGAACTCCGGCACACCATCTGAATGGAGGAGCGAAGCCGCTCTATCTCCCTCGTCACGAGCTCCCGCTCTTTATAACTTGCCGTTTCGGACGCCGAGCTCTGAAAGTGGGATTAAGAGCATGAAAACATTGGATTCTGTCCATCTTTGAAGAAAACTAGGAAATAAAAACTTCAGACAAGTCATTCAGGCAGAAACACCTTCTGCAGGTTAGAACAACAACCTGTGATGTAAATTCCATCCAAATGCCTTACCCGCAAAAATGTAGCTTTACTCTAAATGGAATCAAAAACACGTTCTGCCATCTTTGGTTCCTTGTCACCTTTTACCACTTATCTGAAACACCTCTGGGAGAAAATTAAGCTGCCTTCAGCTGATGTGTTTTATGAGTCAAATGAAGAAAATTTTCCTCTTTAATGATATATTAAAACACAGGAGTCTATGTATGGAGCTAAAATAAGACAAAGCTCTTCCTGTAGATCTGGAATGTCACCTTTACCAGCATTGGATGCCAAGAACCAGAGCAGGGTTGGATTGTGGTTTTAGAACTTCAAGGCAAGCCTATGAGGACTTCAACCAGGCTGGCTGTTTATATGAAGATCAAACACGCTGCTGGATCGTGCTGGATGAAGCTAGCCGACCGGCTAGTCTAAAGCGTGCGCCGTATCCAAATTACATAGAGTTCCTTAATGGTGAAGGGGCACAGGGGCAGGAACTCGCTTCTCGGAGAACAAACTTTAGGATGTTTGCTCAGCTGGATTTTGGAGGACCTGTGAGTATGTGTGAGATGTGAAAGCAATGCAAAGCTGAAGCCACACACACAGCTACTACCAAACAGAGACTGAGGTGAACACACATGACCCCCACCTGCAATCGTGGTTTTGTTTATTTTAGTAACAGGCTGTGGCAGTGAGGTTATTTTACTACAGTATTGAGTAACAACTGCTACACTTTATGCTTCCTTTCAAGTTCAACGTGGGCCCTGAAATGTTGTGCTTCACAGATGGGAGCACCTGTCTTCATGAAGCTGCAGAGCTCAGGCTGAAACAGAGTGTAAACTAAGGGAAACTTTCAATTTCAAATTACACAAGGTGTCAGAGAGGCTGCTCGGGTAACAGGATGAAAACAGAACTCTTATCAAACTATCTTTGTTTTGTCCTTAAAGGAATCAGACAGCTGCAGTACCTAATCAAAGGCAGCCTAACCAGACAGGACCACACGGCAGAAATGACATCAAACTTCACTGTTTGCTTCAATTTCTTTCAGGAAATATGTCCACGTTTCTGACGGACTTCTGTTTCTGGGGCTCAGGAGTGTGAGGCTTAAAAGCCTCGGCCCAGCGGTCCCCCAGCAAGGTGGGTGGCTTTCCACTGGGTGCTGCGGACCCTGCAGCTACACAAACACTATGGCTCATTCGGCCTAGCTGTGGTTTTAGGTCTGCAGAGCCCAGACGGGACCCTTGGCTTCAGTCTGTTTGCCGTTCAAACCTCCCGGCTACCCCGCCTCTTTTTCACGGCTGAAAAAAAAAAAAACTTTATTAAAAAAAACACACAACCTCTTGTTGGTGCACGCTTTGTGTTGGTAGACCTAAACCACAGCACCAAGGAGGCCCATGTCGGGGTCTGCCCAAGCTTTCCTTTTTTTCATCAGGATACCTGTCAGACCCTCTGGTAAAGATGGACCTTTGGAAGAGAAACAGCTCCACAACAGAATCACCGATCCTATACCATACATCACACAAGGTGTTTTTCACAGATTCGTACTTTCTTTTACAATCTTTACATTTATCTGAATACGGTAAATATTAGAAATAATTTAAATCTGCATATATTTTATTTATTTTAAGCTATACCACAAATCAAAGTAGATAAACCTGAACTTGATAAACCTGAACAGCTAAAAGATGCTCTACTTTGCTCCATTCCTATAATGTATAAACTTGGGTCCAATTCCAGCCTAGTTTGTCGTGTTTTAAGTTGCTTTAAACTTTTTAATCATTGGTATAAATCTGGGCCAGTTTACATCCAGAAAAGGCTTTTTTTTTTTTATTTCTTCACTCATGAAAACAGAAGTGAATGACTTAACTATATGAAAATGTAATAAATGCTTAAGCATCATTTAAGTAGTGTATCAGTTATTTTGTTGAAGAATTGGTTTTCTTGTGAGATGATAGAGTGAATGTGTTTTTCCTCCCCACTCATCGTTTTTTTAGGGGGTGCCAACTAATGAGGGAACTGTAGAACACCAGAGGTACAATTCAAAGGGAAATTCCTCCTGTCATCACATGCCTAATTTGCTTCATGGGGAAATATGTCTTAAAAAGCGGATCTATGGACTGCTTTTGGGGATTTTCTGGGGAAAAAGAAAAACATTCTTCAAAGAAACTTTTTGACAAGAAAAATGGCTTTCAAGCAGAGAAAATGTTGACGCTATAGCAACCTTTAGGGTATCATTAAGTGAGAAAACAGCAAAAATGAGAGGAAACGTTTTAGTTTATTTGGAGAGATCCGAACTGCACAAAAGCGTTAAAATTTTACCATCATCGTCATCAACGTCCATATTTCATCACATTTTAGAGTTGGAAAACATTAAAATATGGAAAGTATTAAAACTGGGCTTTATGTCAGCGTTTAAAGGAGCAACAAGAAATGATTCATTATTTTAGATAGAAAGAATTAAAAGTGGGGATGTGAAGTGCTAATGTTATATTTTAAGGTGGAGTATGGTGCAATGTCACAAACCATCTTTGTTACCTCCTTGTTCTTCTGACTTAATTGGTTCAGGGTTAAAGTTGTTTTTCTGTAAGCAAAGGTCATTCTTAAATTCACCTCTCTAAAACAGGATGAGATTACAATAAATGGAAGATGGCGTCTAAGTTTGAATAGTTTTCATGCTACTTTTATGGCGGACTATGCCAAATATGTGAGTCGCTATTGATTAGCTATATGAAAAAGGGATGCCATGAGATAGTACTACACCAACGAAGATCCTCTATGCAGGAAATGTGGGTGAGCTCAGTGGAAGCCAACAGGTAGAGGATAAAGTCTTAGACACAATCAAAAATGGTTCCTCTCCTGGAAAGACATCCTTTTGATCCAAGAAGATAAAATGGCTGGAGGGAAAAACGAAACCCTAAGAAAAAAATTCAAGCTGGTCGAAACCAAGAAAGGGCAAACAGGGAGTCAACAGTCAGACCGCTGAGGCTAGTTCATCAGGTGATAAAATTAGTTATTATGGTTTGTGTGAATTCTGTCAGCAAAAAACATCTGCAGACTGTCCCAGATTGTATTAAACCGATCGCCTTTTTCACAAAGCCTTCCCCTGCATGTTTTTTTCCATGATAATTAGCACTGGCTTAAACAGGTATGATAGAAACTATAGGCTGACTGTATATCAGCACAGCAATATCCTTTCAATCTAAAACTTTTTTGGGTGAGTAAGTAAAATCCAGAGAGATTATGAGGAGAAAAGTGAAACACTGCACTAACACTATGTTGAAAGTTTCAGGTAGGTAAAGTTCTTAAGCAGGCTCATAAAAATACTGGACGGAAGTGGATTTCAAATTTTTAAAATTTTTGTTCCAAAGAAAAGTAATCTGAGAGTGAGTCAGGAGTCAAAAACAAAATGAAAATATCTCTACGTGTTGTTTATGGGCCTTTTTCCTTCATAAAAAAAGCTAACTGGACAATAAAAATAGCTTAGAGTCAGTGAAGTCAGGTACGGAGCAGCAAGGGTACAGGATGTTGATGTCAGGTCACAGTAGCTCTCTGGGGAGACGAGGAAGATCGACCTCCTGACATCCAGGCTGAACTCTGAATCTTTTAAACAATCCTAAACTACACAGCATTAAAACAAAACTCAAACTGCACCTGAAGAAACACAAAAAAAGAGATTCTCCTTTAGCAAAAATAATTTCTCCAACAAGTCTGTCTGGCCTTACAAAAAATCTAATGCCACCGAGTCATTTCCTCATGGTTCCACATAAAAAGCTGAATGTTTACGAAGACACCGAGGTCTGCAGAGGGGTATTTATTTTCTTGACAATCCTACAGAGGATTCTGGCCCTTCTCCTCCGTGACTCTCACTCAACAGCCATCCATTTATATGCCACATGGTTTATTTATACATTATAGACCTTCATCAAGGCTAATTTGATGGGGTAAAGAACAGGGGGTTTCGAAAAGGAAGAGTTCACACAAATTCAATGAAAACGCAGCTGTAGTGAAGGGCAACAATGTCCAAATAAAAGGAGAACGTTCTTGGAACAATATACACGGCTGCTAAGGGGTCATGATTAGGGTCGGCCCCATAAATATACTGTAGATCCTTCAGATACACAGAGTGTATAGTTTTGCAACTGAGAAGAAAGGAATAAAAAAATGAAGACCTAAATTTGGTTTCATGAACAAAGAACATACATATTCTGCACACATCAATGTTTTATAAATAAACTAGCCGAATAACAGAGAAGAGGGAGACCTCAGCGTTTACATTTTTATGTTTCATTATGATTGCAATTTAAAAATAAGGAAAGGCACTGGTCCATTAGGCTGACCTTCATGTTAGGAAGGAAGTCATCACGGTTCTTTATGCAGCTGAAGAGGCAAGGCCAGTAATGGCTGAGCGACAGACTAACAACCCACAGCTCCAATAAGTGGACGTACCTGCATCGAGCTGCACCTTCAGACCAAGCAGAATACGGTGATACTCAACGGAAGGTCTGGAGGAAATTAGGATAATCTCTAGAAGGCTGTACTCATGTTACTCAAAGAGCTGTTTTATCTGTGTGTGTTTTAACTCTCATTTGAGGTAGTCGGATATACATAAACAACATTTAACATACATCCTTTCAATCCTGTGTCTAAATTCCTGACGAGCAGCTTCAGTTTACTGCTGGTTAAGCTTCACCGGCTTCAGACGCGAGTTACGAGGGATGCTGTCTTAGGTCGCTGCTAGGAAGAAATAGATCAGCAGCCTTTCTGCATGAGTGACACCTCAAAACAGTTCATCCATCTCAGTCAGGGTGGTCAGCTAGTATGGGATGCAGGGCACCATGCTTCAGTGAAGGAGACCACCCAACTCAGACAGCATACGCCGCCTCACACCGAGGAGCTTAGACCAAACTGTAAGCTTCAAATGCTTTTATACTCCAAATATTGATGAAAGAGCCCTTTCTCTGGCGTACAGAATAGAATCTATAAACAATGACAGGGATGTTTCATCATCAATAGGACAATAGGCCCTAATTCAACACAAACAGAGATAAATCTTATATGTCTCTGTATCCTTCACAGTCTGATGTATTTATAATAAAAAAAAAAAACACCTCATCATAAATTAATATTTCAAAACAGAAACATATCCTCACACTGACCAAGTCGGAAGATTAAATTAGAGCAAATTTATTCAGTGGGAAATCTTCAATGTTAGGAAAATTTTCTAAATTATCACTTTTACAATAACTACCAGCACCATAAAAATTATTATTTTTTATTTAAAAAGAATGTATTTTTCTATTTAATACTTATTCAGAGTTTCACTTAATTTAGCCTAAATAGTTTAATGAGCATCAAAGAATACCAAATTTCCAAAACCTTTGGTTCTGCCTCTTAACCTGTTTTCCTGCACTGCTGCTCAGCTGGCTGAAAACGACAACTTTGCCTGTCTGAAATATTCAGAGTTTATAAACTTAGTAAACTGGACCCAAATTCCTATCAACAAAAAGCTGTTTGAAACTATCATTAGAAAGCTAAAGTTCACGTTTATTAAGCTAGCTTGCTCTAAGCCAACAGATGACCCACCTGCTTTGCCTTCTAATAATTCTTTACGCTATAAAGAACTAAACAACAAAAATATATAGTATTCTGTTCAATAACTACTTGAAAACAAAAAAAAGAGATATTTTCTTCTAAATCTTTGTCTTCTATGTTGAGTTCATACTGTGCAATAATAGACCATGTCTGAAAAATCTTTCTTCTCTGGTTGTGAGCCGCAGTGTGTACTTTGTGGTCATTAACCACACAAGGATTTCTTCCAAGACATTTGACTAATATCGAGCAGAGTCAGAAACTTTCAGGGAAAATCTTGCGGTGTTACAGCACCTGTGCTGTCCGGTTTGGCTCAGCCGTGTGCTCTTCCACAGCTGCCTGCTTTCCCCACAGCTCCGTCTGCAACCTGCAGCACCTGAGCGACCAGCCTACCCTCCACTCTTAAATACTCTGAATAAAAGCTAACAAAGAACTACACGTTTTCAAATGTAGTGGTAATACAAATGTTTTCATAGCAAACTTTGCATGGAAATACAAAAACAGAATGAGTCCAAATTTGCCACGGATACTTTAAACGTACATAGATATTTATTTCTTTTGGTAAAACAAATTTCATATATTAGATATTCATAAATTTTTATAAATTAAATATCTTAAAAGGGCTATGAAGTATATTTATCAGAAGTGTCTTTTCATCCCATCATTGACATTACCATGTAGAGTTTGATCAAACCTGTGAAAGCTGCAGGTCTGACTGACCTTTCAGGAACAAACACTTTTAGATGGGTCATCTTTAAACAAACGGAGTATGGGGAAAAGCACCTATAGCAAGGTGGGGGCTCTGGCATGCTGTGGGGAGGTCCCATAGACTGAAAATGTATCACCTTTGGGTATTTTCAAAAGAAAAAAAATAATTAGCCAGAAACAGTTCATCAGACACAAAAATTGCCTCTTCATGTGGCAATCAAAGCCCTCAGACCAATTCCTTTTAGATTCCTTTGGACTGAGCTAAAGGAAAAGGAGCAGAAAAGCAAACATAGGATTTTAGAAGATCTAGAGAAATCTGGTAAAGTTGAAATACTCATTGATCCTTCTCTGGTAATGTGTGATTTTCCTTCTTATTGATAAATGTAATCACATTAAAAGCTGGGTTTGGCTACATTAATCTAAAAACTATTAGCAGTATGTTGTTTTCATAAATATGTAATTACAAGAGAGACAGACAGGGAAAGGAGCAAATAAGCAAAAGCTCTAAAATTTTCCTCCCATGATTTAAGATGCTTCCTAATTGAGCAGAGAACCTTACAAAGCTGAATAATCTTAAGTACCCAAAAATGTTGAGCAACCTTCAGAAAACAACTCTTTTCGCTCCAGACATCTAGATGTGTGGATCAATAGTGTGTGTGGTCTGCAAGGGGCCATAGCTGCCTGCCTGGTTATTAGCCCTTCACCTTCACTGGAGGGGAACATTTTTGTGGTTTAGAGGCACCGCAATTACACCTCCTCCTCCTCCAAACTCCATTTGTTTACATCTTTCTTTTGATAAAAGCCAGTGTTGCAGCAGGTCTGTGGTTAAAACTGTGTTCCCAGGGAACAAAGTTCTCAGAAAGAAAGGCTGACAGGACTGGAGGAGACTTTTAGACTGAACTAGGCTAATACTGCCCTCTAGTGGAGAGGAAAAAAGGAAATATTTGAAAAGCATACCTGTTCTTTAGATTTCAGTGAGGACGGAGACGCTTCGTAGTCTTTCTTGGTCTCAAGGATCTTCTTTACAAGTCCGCCTGAATTAAAGGAAAATCTCAGCTTCCTAAACTGAACCTTAAATGTTCTAATTCCTCAAGAAATGAAGGAACTCAGTCATTTACCATGTTTTTCATCTGTGTCGAGTTCTGGTGCAGGTTCCTGTAACAGAAAAGATTGATAGTTTCTTTACGATGTATAATCAAAACCACTGATTTCAATACATCATTCATTGGTGATTAATTTCAATCACCAGTGAATGTTTCTGTCACCTACTCTCTCCATCTCAGGAGCATCTGGAGGTGCTGCTTCCACCACTAGGAACTGCTCATCTTCACCCTCCTCTTCCTCTGACATTCTCTTCCCATCCATTATAATCAGAGCTGGGGGCTTGGCACTGGACAGCCTTTAAAAAAGGAAGTGTGCTGAGAACCTTTTTAAGGAGCATTTCCTTCAATCAGTGCAGTGTGTTCAGTCTTATTTCTGTTTATAAGTTGTTTTAAAACTTGATTGAAATGGATGACCAAACGTGGAAATAAGGCACTTTGTCCTGGTTAAACAGTCCTTCACGAAAAATGGTTCGGAAAAACATTCATAGCTCTACAACATTTTCCTCTTTCCTAAATCCACAAACTCCAATGGGTTGTATTTTATGAAATAGACAAATCAACACTAGCATAAAATTGTTACCTAGAAGATACCAATTAATGGTTTCCTGTTTTGTTTTTTTTTTTACAGATAAAGATATGAAAAGAGGCATATGAATGTATTAAGAACTTTTAAATTTTAACCCCTATAAATAAAAGAAAGATTTAACATCTGCAGTTGCCCCAAAAACATATAGAAGACACAGCAACATTCGGCAAAACAAGATTTGTAAGGAAACACACTATATTGCCACGCAAACCATCCATATTATGCATGTCCATGAGGTAAATGCAGACATCCATAGACTGCCGGAAGTTCTGGGTGTCTCCCCGATATTGATCATTGTTTAGGGATGCCTGCGAGTCGGATAAATTATCACGGATTTTAGATCTATGCAAGGTGGTGTTTTTTAATGCGAGTGAGAGCGCGCAGGCAATACAATAATTAATACATCATCTGCGGATTAGAACTACTTTGATTGCATAGGCACAACAAGAGAGGGCTGTGGGGAGGAGGTTGCTTGTGAAACCTGTGTTTATCTGTCCAAAGCGATGCTCTGTTCAACAAGGGGTCAAGGCGACTGGTCGTGAGAGAGCACGCTGATTGGTTTAGTCAGAAAAATAAGCCAATAAGTTTTGGTTTACTCTCTGACAGCCCCCTAGTTACCACTCACAGCTGTGCATCCTGTGAAATGGCAGAGGTTTAAATCCTCGATTAAAAAAAGGAAATAAAGGACTCATTTTACAGCAGAATATACTTAAGTATATCCATGTAGAGTGAAGGTGAAGAATAATGAGACCGTGGAGAGGTGCACAGTATGCAATAGTGCCTTCAGTATTACCCAGGGTGGACTTAATAATTGTAAAAGACATGTGGAGGTAAGCTAAGGTTAACACGCCATCACCTGCATTTTAATTCTGTAGGTTTAATGCAGTTATAAAATAAAGAAAAACGTATCAAATACTTCTTTAAAGTATCAATGCACATCTAGTTCATTGTATAGGGCTACATCTAACTATTTAGCTATCTAACTCTATATCCAGCTTGTCTAAGCCTTTGAAAATCCCGATTTTAATATGTTGATAAATGTAGGCTAAAAAAATTAACACTATTCCAATGCCAACACTTGGATAGATGCCCAAGTCAACTTCTAATATAGATTAGATGATGCTAAATGTCATTCAGTGTTAAAAACACACAAGAAACATATGGTGTTTTTAAAGTCGTAGGGAAGCGGCTGTTCCAACCGTTGCATTTCCGACTTGTCCCGTGTGGTGCACGACACTGCACGAGTGAATAAAGTGAATTTGATTGGACGTTTATCAAGGGGGAGGGATTGTTGTGGCAGAAGGTCCGCAAGCGAGTTTTATTGTGGCTGGTTTATCGGAAAGTGGGGATGTTGTGGAAGAGGACGCCAGGGCGGCAGAAGTTTGGTTTGGTGTAGAAGGCTTACAGTACAGCCGTACATGTTTGAGCCCTTGCCTCGCAACGCTGACAGTTCTGTTAGCTCTACACCTGCCCAAGACACAGACCTCCATCCCTGTGAACACTGGGATGGAACTCAATGGGAAAGTAAATGATTCTTATTTCTTATTTCAACCGTTGCGTATATTAGCTGCACAATATGAATCGAGATGCTATGACCGAAAATATTTGATTGACAGACGAATGTTGATATATGATTGGCGGAATTTAGGTGTACAAGCTGACGTATAACTATCTGGCCTGCATAAAATAACGCAAAAAACCCCACAGATTTTAAGATTTTAATAGAAATGTTCTAAATTTTGGGACAATATGGTCTGATAAAGAGTATATTTATATACATCTTTAAGCCAGAATGATTTGACATTTAAATATGACTTCCCTACAACTTTAAAAATGCTGTCAACAATCCATATAGGGTCATTTTTGCATGATTTTGTAATATCGTGCAGCTCAGTGTTTTGCCAGTGTTTTTATACATAATAAATTACTAAATGTGTGTCTACATAAATAAATGACCAAACATCATCTTAAGTACAGCAACATAGTGAGGGAATATGCTTCTTTAGCAGGGCTGGTCAGAGTTTCTGAGAAGATTAATGCATATGGGGGCAAACATGGAAGGACAGGGGCTGCAAAAGACCTGAGACTGCTACAAAGGTTCATCTTTTGGCAAGACACCATAGGACATCCAGCAAGAGCAACTGTTTAGTAACTGATACTGGTTGAAGTACAAAATATTATTGCTGATGTATTTGAAGGGAAGGGTATTGATCCAGGAGGATGAATACAAATGCATGACATAGACTAAGATACACTATATTGCCAAAAGTATTTGCTCACCTGCCTTGACTCACATATGAGCTTAAGTGACATCCCGTTCCTAATCCATAGGGTTCAATATGACGTCGGTCCACCCTTTGCAGCTAGAACAGCTTCAACTCTTCTGGGAAGGCTGTCCACAAGGTTTAGGAGTGTGTTTATGGGAATTTTTGACCATTCTTCCAGAAGCGCATTTGTGAGGTCGCACACTGATGTTGGACGAGAAGGCCTGGCTCTCAGTCTCCGCTCTAATTCATCCCAAAGGTGTTCTATCGGGTTGAGGTCAGGACTCTGTGCAGGCCAGTCAAGTTCATCCACACCAGACTCTGTCATCCATGTCTTTATGGACCTTGCTTTGTGCACTGGTGCACAGTCATGTTGGAAGAGGAAGGGGCCAGCTCCAAACTGTTCCCACAAAGTTGGGAGCATGGAATTGTCCAAAATGTCTTGGTATGCTGAAGCATTCAGAGTTCCTTTCACTGGAACTAAGGGGCCAAGCCCAGCTCCTGAAAAACAACCTCACACCATAATCCCCCCTCCACCAAACTTTACACTTGGCACAATGCAGTCAGACAAGTACCGTTCTCCTGGCAACCGCCAAACCCAGACCCGTCCATCAGATTGCCAGATGGAGAAGCGCGATTCGTCACTCCAGAGAATGCGTCTCCACTGCTCTAGAGTCCAGTGGCGGCGTGCTTTACACCACCGCATCCGACGCTTTGCATTGCACTTGGTGATGTATGGCTTGGATGCAGCTGCTCGACCATGGAAACCCATTCCATGAAGCTCTCTGCGCACTGTTCTTGAGCTAATCTGAAGGCCACATGAAGTTTGGAGGTCTGTAGTGATTGACTCTGCAGAAAGTTAGCGACCTCTTCGCACTATGCGCTTCAGCATCCGCTGACCCCGCTCCGTCAGTTTACGTGGCCTACCACTTCGTGGCTGAGTTGCTGTCGTTCCCAAACACTTCCATTTTCTTATAATACAGCTGACAGTTGACTGTGGAATATTTAGGAGCGAGGAAATTTCACGACTGGATTTGTTGCACAGGTGGCATCCTATCACAGTTCCACGCTGGAATTCACTGAGCTCCTGAGAGCGACCCATTCTTTCATAAATGTTTGTAAAAACAGTCTGCATGCCTAGGTGCTTGAATTTATACACCTGTGGCCATGGAAGTGATTGGAACACCTGATTCCAATAATTTGGATGGGTGAGCAAATACTTTTGGCAATATAGTGTAAGTTTTAAGAAATGTACCTGGTTCAGTTTACTTCAAATATACATTCTACCTTGTTTTGTCTCATGGCATGAAATCTTTTTTTTTAACTAGAGAAAGGTTTGTGGTTATAACATAAAACAATGTGAAAAAGATCAATGGGTATGAATGGTTTTACAAGGCACTGCAACGGGACAAACATTCAATAATTGGAACAATGAGGTCACCTCTCAGCTGGGGTCCCCTCGGCGCTGCTTGTTTGTCTCCTCACTCGAGGAGGTGCTGGGCGAGCGCTGCTGGGTCGAGCTGTTCGTCTGAACAATGGGAAACCATACACATGAAACCTTTAAAAAAATACTCACAGCCAGTTTTTCACTTTACGAGCTGTTATTTTCACAGCTTATTTTGTACACAACAGCAATGGGATGTTTTTTAGAATTTCCAGATGTGTGATGTCGATCCCAACATTACGAGGATAACTGCTCTGCTCGCCAAAAGTCTGAATATTAATAACAGCTGCAGTGGTACAGCTGCATGACAGGCTAATCAAAAATGATTAGTCAGCCAAAGGAAGACGACTTTCAAATCTTTCCAGCCTGTAAACAAAGACTTGATCATGTTCCAAGAACTGGGAACAATCTGGAACAAAATGGGATTCAGTTTCATATAAATACAATAAGACACATCACTGCTTTTAGATCAAATCTAAAATGAAGTCAGTTTGGTTCTGACATATTAGGAAAGAAATGGAACATATAAAGAGACTAAGGATCATGTTTAACCTTTTATAATGGAAGCAGGATTGGCTAGAGGGCCTAAAGTTATCGTTACAGGTAAATCAAACAGATTGTTCATACCCAGAAGTCTGGTCTGATGATGGCACTGCATTGGCGTCTCCATTCTCCTGAGGGACATGTCTCTGTGCTAGTGGAAGCTCTCCATCTGTGATAGTAAAGAAAAGGGATTCAATCTGGACAGCAGAGCAAAGATGACACCTATGTGTAGCAGTCTCAGAATTGGATCTGGAAATGAACGCCTCTATAAACATTTAGGATTTTAAACTATTGTCAAAGTAATTACAAATAAAATGGATAAATTGGTTTGTAATCAGAAATAAATTGTTTTCTGTTTCAGGTGGCCTGGAATTAGAAATGAACTGTTTTCACATTTCACAAGCATAATCAAAGAGTATTTGTCATGAAATGTACATTTTTTTTCTTTTTTTTTAACAAACAATAAGCTGTTATAATGAGAAAAAAAAGAAAGTAACTTTTCAGTTAAGAATAATGATTAAACAAGAGGTGCAAAAGGAAGTGACTTTGTGCATAACAGGAAACATACCATCGGGCAGTTGAAGTTAGAGCCCAAAAGAGTCAGAGCCCAAAAGGAAGTGGGAAGTGTGAGGAGCTAGATTCTTGTGTAATCATACTATTATCTAGATGGGCAGAATAATGCAACTTCTGAACCTCTGCTAATTTTAAATCACTTTTAAAAAACTACTTTGTTATGAAACAATAAAGCCCTATAGAAAAACAGATCATAATAAAGCTTACACAAGTTTAATCAACATAAAAAAATCCCTTTATATCCTAACAAGAACAAAAAATAGAACAAGAAACCTTAGCACCCAAGCACAGAGGTAAGATGCTTTCTTTTGTCTGTCGCCACCTCTTTTTATTATTTTCTTAATCTAAAAATCATACAATCACAAATAACTATTGTATTGCATTAGTAACATTAGTGCAGGTGATCAACACCCTGTGATGGACATGACATTGAATTTTCTCAAGCTTGTCATTTTCTGCACTTTGTGCCCAAACATTTTAAAACCAGGAATTCAATCATTGACTGATCAGTTGTGTATTTCAAGGCTGCAGCGAAAAGTAGATTGAGGAAGAAGATCTTTGTTCTTCTTTCTGGACAATCTGTCATGAGACCTAACCAAGCAAAACGACTTTGACGGCTTAAAATACACATTAAAATATATATACATTTAAAAATCTAAAACTGGAGTATTTTTTAAAACAATATTGTGAATTCAATTTTATTTTGGTTTTCCTTTGCACTAACAACCAGCATGTAGATGTTTCATTCAAAGGTTTAATTCTTTAAAAACAATGAAAGCCTGCTTGTCAAAAATCCATTGTCACTGGTATTTACTGTTACTTTTGCTTGGTAAAAATGATTTCTACTACCATGCCTGCATGGATATGTGTGCTGACTGCAACTCTTCTCTCTACTGTGTGGTGGCAAACCCACTTAAAGTGTATTACCACCACCTAAAGGGAGTAAAAGGTCAGTATCTTGTACTTCTGTTAAATTCAATGTGAACCAAATTGAGTGACTCTGCAATTTTGAAATGGAAAGTTTGTGAAATTATAAATGCAATAACTGTCCAGACCTAGAATACATAGAGTTTGAGGCTTAATCTAAACACATTATTGTGATCTGCTTTTCTGCATGCAACCTTTTCACCCATATAAGTTGTTTTATATCTTTTTTTTTTAATAAAACCTAGTATTATTTTCCACTAAAGCTTGTCCTTCAGGTTTCTTGAATACTACTTAAGGTGTTAAAGTTTCAGTGCCCAACACAGATTTTTTTGAAGGATCAGGATCAGCAGTGGGGCTGGATGCCCTATAACCTTAATGTATGTTTTATTTAGTCACTCCTAAGCCAGCATCGCCCATCATTTGGTCTCTGGTCAATAAAAGAAGGTTCTTAGACTTAGACCCAACTTTATTTATCCATTGTAATTACTCCTTCACTGATATTCTGGCTCCAGTAGCTTATATAGAGTACAAAGAGTTAAAGCAAGATGCCATTAAAGATGAAAAAATACGACAGACAATATAAAAGATTGTATATAGTACAAAAAGCGAGTTATTGCACTTGCATTGCAGAACTGTACTGACCACATAAATAAGTGAAAATTATACAGACTACACAGAAATTGACTCTGATTATTGAACTTGTAGTGCAGAGATGTACTGACTTCATATATAAGTAAAATATTACACAGGCTACACAGTAGTTGGCATGTGTTATTGCACAGGGAGAGAGAGTCCAAATTTGTAGAGTAGGCAAAATCTATTCACTGCAAATTAAGTTAAAGTTGTTCTGTGCTCCTAATTAAAAAGTCCCAAACATAATGCTTCAGGTAGAGACTGTTCTTCAGCCCATACTGAACCACTCTCTTTCTTGACATAGTGAGCTGATACCAAAAAGGCTCATTTTGGAACTATCTGGGCCTTGTCTAAACCTTTTATATGTTTACTGACTATCCTAAGACTGATCTATAGATGTGCGGTATTTCGACTCATTAAACATGAGTCTGTTAATTAGTTCTAAATGTAACTAAAATTTAGTCCGACTATAATGATTGGCATTTACTTCTGTATATAAATTGAATTAGCCTGTATTAGAGTGCCTTGTAAAGGACATTGTAATGGTGTAATGGTGCTACACAAATAAGCTGAATGGAATTCTTTTTACTGTTATTCTCTGTGACTGTGGCTTCAAAAGATTTCAGACCTAACATGAAAAAGAAATGTCATGCACTGAGCTACAGACTGAGTGTGATTAATGATAATTCAACATCTTATCTGTTGATGCCCAGCAGGTCTATAGGAGGGAAATGATTATTGGCTGATATTGAGAGAACATTACACATCTGTGGTAGCCACAGATCCTCGTGGAATGTAATTAAAAAAATTAAAAAAACTTAACAAAAACACTTTTCTGATATTTGGATAATAGCACTGTTCTTAACAATAAGATTTAAGTACATTAAGAATAAGCGAGCGTTACTATAAGTGAATCAGCAGGGATTCAAGCACAATATATTCCCCACTGCACTAATGACACAAAGGAATGCAGTGGGAAGACAGGATTTACCTGATCACACCCACCAACAGCCATTCAGAGGAATTCATGTAAACAACATTAATTAAACAAATTCAGATAATCAAATATGTTGTTACAGTGCTCCTATCTAATACCAGAACACTATGTCAGAGTTAACTACATCCATTTACTTAAAAACTGGAGTGACGTTTCTAACATCAGAGTTGCACTACAGACCATCTAGTTTCTGTTTGGTTTGTAAACTCTTGTACTCCTTGTTCTACTGCACACCCAGCCCAGTTTGGGTTTGGTCAGGTCTGTTTGGACCAGTAAAGCCCAGTGATACATTGAGTTTAATCTTCTGCTTTACCATTAAAACCTGACTAACTGGCACCGCATGTTGAAAAGCCCAGCTCCATAAAAGTCCCCAGGTTACTAAAATCAGACAGACAATATTTTCTTTTCTTTAATTTATGTTGCAACAAACATAAATACAGGAACCAATTAAACTTGTGGACATGTTTTTTTTTTTTTTTTATTACTTTTGTCACATTAACAAAACAACAAAAAGGTGCATAACTAAGCAGAGGGATAGGAAACGTCTAATATAACATTAAGAATCTGTATACATGGGCCTCATTTATTATGAACCAGTTGCAAAAGTCACATAAACAGTAAAATGATCAAAAAGGTTCAAAAAGGTCCTCAGAGGTTCCCCAGATGAAATATCTCACAGAGCTACATTTAATCTATCCACTGAAAATGGATGTATGGCGCACAAATTAAAACCTTGCAATACATGGCTTCCCACCTTCCCTGAGGGTCCATCCAAATTGGGTATATAGGTAGGGACGCTTAAACCAAAGCGGAGGTGTATCAAAGATAACCATAATAAGTGCTACCTGAATAGCAATGGCAGCGAGATAGAGGTAGGAATAGGAAGCAGGAGGCTTCCCACAATCCATTGAGTGAACATATAGGCACCAGTGGTGGCTGCTGCTATTTAATGAGAAATCATGACTGATAGGCAAAGCCCACTTCGCGGAGTTTAACATAAATACATTATTTCTGTGTGACACGGGTAAATGTACCGGTAAACACCATCATATGTTTTGGGTTTTATAATGAAGAGCCCTAGTCATTTGCTACATCTATGTAACTTTAGTTTTTTATAGTTTTTTTTCTGGAAAGCTGTAGTCCCAGTTTTAATTAGCATAATACATGTACGCCTTGGCATTAATAACAATCCCTAAGGCTGAAGGTTGTCTGGATTCAGTAGAGTAGTCTAGAGTTCCTGTCCGACCATTGAGTGTGTTCTGTTTACCCCACCAAAGGTTAGGGATAAGAGCTAGGAACAGAAGGTAGGCGCTATAATTAGCATGTTTCCGAAAAAGCCTAACAGACTATGGTAGTCAAGAGGTACCATAATCATAGAAGCAACAGCTAAAAGGATCAACAGCTAAAAGAAGTCTTTATCAGTTTTTATGTGTTTCTGTGGCTGTGCTACGGTGCTACCAAAGGGCCCAGCAAACATGCTACAGTGTTTTCAGAGGTTTTGGATGCAGCATGTAGAAACATGCTTGCTAAATCATTTCAGAAAAAGAAAAAAAAGAGAGTGAAATACAAATGCATGCCACTATTTTGACATTTTCAACACCATGTATACGTTTCCTTTTGCTTAACAATTGTGGGCTATCAAATAAAAATAAAAAAAACATAAATATATACATGTCTGAAGTTCCGTAGCTCCAAACCCAATTCAATTTCAGTAAATCTGCTTAAAATACACCAACAGAAAACCTTATTTTTTGGGCATTCTAATTCCTCCAAAGTTTTCAGGCTAATGAGACCACTGGTGGTAAAAAAATCCACTTACCTCCTTCACTGTCCGACTCATCTGTTTGTGAGAAAGAAAGAAATTGTTACAAACTGAGGCGTCACTTCAAGTATTAAGTACTCAACAATCAACAGAATGACGGTCTTCTGACGATTCTCAGAAATAAAAAAAAGCAAACAATTATTCCTATAGAGTCCAGAGTGATAAAGAAAGAGCTCAAAGCCTTTACCATGACCAGCTTTAGGTTTCCTTCTCTGGCCTTTGGCAGATGAGGGTCTGGGTATCCTTGCTGGACTACCAGACTGGAAAACATGGAGAGAAGCAGAATACATTTTTTCTTTTCTTTTCTTTCTTTTATCTATCAAGGCATCATATGATAGTTTTCTTCAAAGTGACTCTATTTCTATAAGCATTGTTAAATTCCCACCTGGTTCTCAACTACATCTGTGAGCTGATAAGACAAAAAGCACAGCAACATGGTTTCAGTTAAATCATACACATAAAACCATCATGTTGACCAATAAAGAGACCGATGTTGGACCACTGAGTACAGCTGCTAAACATAAACTAGCTAAAAGCAACACAGTCACAAATTTAACCAACAACGGCTATGTCCGAACGTCCGCCTTAATCACTATATTGGGCACTATATAGTGTTTACCACATTTTAAATGAGCGTAACGTCTAGTGGGAGAAAAAGTAGTGGACTCGAAATTTCCAACAATTCACCATGAAAAGCAGTGATCCTCCATGGTCACTAGACGAGCAGATATATCCCGGAATGCTTTGCATGGAGAGCTCTCCTCACAAAGCATTATGGGATTTGCTCTCACAGCGGCTCACTGTTGCCATAGGCTGTTGTTACTAGACAGCGGGAACTAAAAACAAAGATGGCGCAGGCACCGTGCAGTGGGGAAGGAGATACGTGACCAAAGGGGAGCGAAAAGTAGTGATCATCTGCCTGAACAGTCGGTTAAATGAGTTCACTATAAAGTCCACTATATAGTCCTTGTTCTATATAGTGATTGAGGTATTTAGGAGGTTAAGAGCTGGCTATGCTCCCCCCAGCAGCGTGTCGCAGTGAGCTCGTCACAGACACTTTTGATTTATGCCCAGTATTGAAGCATGGTCTGCGTTATGTTTAGTCCATGCCACGATGCAAGAGGGACAATCACAAACTAGCTGTGGGTCTAGATACGGCCGAGGCGGTGAAGAAGTGGGGGCAAGTTTGTGCAACAACAGAGGGACACGAGTGGAAAAAAGGGTCCCAGCGTTCTCACGCACCTTGCTCTTCTAGCTGGTCCAACTTCACAATGGCGGTCATACAAACAAAACAAGCCGGTAAGGAAACAAAAAGGAAATACGCGTAGTGTAAAGTGGATGTAGATTTGACCACTCAGATGCCTCCTGTCTGCAGCAGGGGGTGGAGGCACATTTGCATTCACTGCGACACGCAGGCGACCTGGTTTCTGAGTATAAATAAGCCTTTAGGACAGATGTTCGGACACAGCCAAATTCTCCTTAGTGCGTAGGCCTGGGATGTGTTTCACAAAGCTGATTTAACAAACTCAGCCTCAAATTCTCCACATTAAATTAATCTAGCCTAAGGTTGGAAACTCTGAGTTTTCAGTTTCATAAACGCTATTGTGAATTTGTTTAATCAATTCTGAGTAGTTCCAAAGTTGAGCATGATTCTAACAAGTGTGAAAAGCCATTAATCCATTACACAGTAAATAGTAAGTGGTTGTATGCAGTTGCTTCGGATGTTATCATCCTAATAAATGGTTGTTATTAGTGGTTATCAGTCCCACAGAATGGCTCCAAGAGGCTCACTAGGTTCTTATCACCGAATCAATCCTAATCCTATCCCTAAGGTAATTCATTTATTTTTTCCCATGGAATAATTTCATCTATTTATGTATAGTTTAAAAATAATTTAAGTAGTTCTTCATTTACTATAAAAATAAAATAAAAAATCATCCACATGTTGGCCATGTTAAACAAACCAAAAACAAGAACATCTCATCCTGTCACCTAAATTGTAGAATCCTCTCCCTATAAATATTCAATTCTCTATGAATTAATGCCGATCATGCAATGCTTGTTTTTAAAAACTAATGTCTCTAACGGACCGAGTGGAATTTCTTTCTCTTTTTTTTTTTATATACACTAAACTACGACAAAAAACTCTTGACTAAATCAGGAAATAAAACAACGTGATTGGAGTGAGACAGAGGACACTGAGTTTACTGAATAAAACCTGCTCCCAACCAGCTTAGCTCTGGGGTGAATCTTACTATGGCGACAGAAACAGAGGTTTAGGAAACTCTTCTTTGTGAAACGGAAAACTAAAGAGTTTCCCTGAGGTTTAAAAAAATTTAAGAGGTATTAGTAAACCTGCTTTGTGAAACTGACCCCTGCTCTTTCACTCATCACAGCAAACATTTTTTACCTCTTCAACACCTTTTAGATCCTTAGGAGAATAAGAAGCATGATGTAAGAAATGTGATAAGGGGTTTATCACATTTGAAATAACTGATGAGTTTAAATGCTTTTAATTTTGTAAACATAAAGGGAGAGAGCTTACTGCTGGCATAGGTTTGGCGGTTTTGGTGCTCTGCTCCTCAGGAGGGGGTTTCTGCTGAGGTTCCTCTGATTCTCTGGCCTGGCGGTAAACACACATACACACCATGTAAGTGACTGCATTTAACCGGGTGGCTGAAAATGTCAGAAACTTTACCACCAAACCTTAACATTTCCTCTATCTCCACTTCGGTTTTTTTCATTCCTGTCTTTGCCTTTGTCTCTGTGAGAATCCCTCTCTCTGGTCTTCTCCTTGTCTCTGTCCAGTTCTCGGCCTTTCTCCTTGTCCCTGACACGTCCCTTGTCTCGATCCTTGTCTCGCTCTCGCTCCTTGTCCTTATCGCGGTCTTTAGTCTGATGTTCCTGCTCACTGCGGTGATGCCTTTCTGCGCGCTCGTGGTCACGCTGATCTTCTTTGTCTCTGTGTCGGCTCTCCTGGTCTTTAGGCTGTTTGGGATCCTTTTGTTCCCGGCTGCCACTGCGCTCAATCTTCTTCTTTTCCTAAAATTTGGTAAGAGACCAGACAACAATGCTAAGGCTTTAAAGAAAAAAAAAAACACAAAAATCAAAACTGGACAGGATGTTTGATCCTGAATATTTTTTCTAGTTTTTATTGCTATATTATGGCTTTTGTATGCAATATGACTCACTTCCTTATCTGGCTGCCGTTCTCTTCCCTCCCTTTTTTCCTTCCCCTGAGACCTAGAGGTGCTGGTTTTGGTCTTTAAGTCGACGTTTTCCCCTGAAAGAACTCGTTTCACTGCCTCATCACTCGACAACTGTAAAACAAAAAGAGAATTTGATGCAACAGGTGAAGATTTAAAAAAAAAACAAATTCATGTTGATCTCCATCAAATTCTTGAAATTCGAAAGTATTCTGGTTGCCGTGAACTTAATTTTATTTGTTTCTGTCTACACTCCGTCTGGGAAATCAAAGGGCTTACATGAAGACATGAAACATAATAAAAGTAAACGTAAACAACTTGAAATTAAGAAAGTCTGTTGGATTAACATATCTTTTTATAAAGCCCTTTGAATGAATGATGACCTGCTGATGTAACACGTATGTTTAGCAAAGAATAAACCTGAAGCACCAAGAATTGTTTACAACCACATTAAATAGGAGTTTTCCCCGGAGCACAAACTCTTCTGTTTACTCTCATCTCCTGGGGTCAATTAAAATATTTTACAGATATTTCTCTATCGAGTTGCTTGATGTGTCATTCGCATTGTAAAAAAAAAAAAAGAAAAGCATGATAATGATAATAGCCAAAACTATATTTATTGAAATAATAAAGAACAGATTTACCTTGTTGAGGCAGCATTTAGCGAGGGCCTGAAGCAGCTCGTTGGTTCTCTCAGGCTCGTGGCCGGCAATAATTCGTGCAGGTTTTGCTGCCAGAGGCTCCCCAGACACCAACATCACTACATCTATTGCTTTCTGAAGAAAAGCTATTTTAGAGTCTTTATCCTACAGGGAAATAAGAAATTAGGGGGAAAAAATAAACGTTTCTTGAAACCAAAGCTTGCATTTTGAAAGAAATTAGAGCATCCATTCAGTAATCAGTCTGGGCTGTTGATTGCTACCAGGCATACAGAGATTTAAAAAATAAATAAAATAAATAAAAACCACTAGATCATCCTAGATTTTTACTTTTACCCTGAGAGATGACAAAGAAATCTGACAATAAGCGCCAAAGAAAAAAAAAAACCCATTGGAAGGACTCAAAAATATGTTTGGTTATAAAACCAGTCTATTTTCCGGCTGTTCTTAAATAACTATGACAAATACATATAAAAAACAATGAAAACTTCAATGTACTTTTCTGATGAGGAACAATTATGTTCCGGCATTTTTAAAGCTTTAAAATAAATGTTATGCCTGGTAAAGTTTATGTGAACTGACCCAGCCCCATTAAGCTGAGGTAAGGTGAGAAGCCAGTGTAGCTCCTACGTATCCTTTCCTAATCGAAGATCAACTTGCAAATGTCAGATCTGAGTTCTGACACCTCGATAAACGCTCTGTCTTTCACTGCCAGGTGTTCTCACTCAGAGTGAGTTTCAGGCAGCCTGTTTGGTTACTTGACACTCAGACGGATCAATGAAACGCAATGGAAATCTCAAACATGCAAGCCTGTTTCTCAAAACAAATTGAATTAAACTATAAAAGACAATTATGAAACAAATACTGCATAACTTCTAGTTTATTAGCAGGTCAGAAGTAACAGAAAATCTTCAGAAAAACAACCAAGAACTTACCTTGACGTTATCTGACTTCATTTCTTTTTCTTCATACAATCCTTTCATGAAACCAGTGGTTCTGATGACCTGCAAGTTTGGAGAACAAGAACATTATGAGATCAGTTTATCAGTAATGTTTTTGTGAGACTTTTATTCCAAAAAATATTTTCTGTTTATTCAATCACCACTGAATGTCATTGGCTCTAACAGGGAAAACTGTATTACGGTAGATATAAATATCCAACCCCGTTTACCTAAGGTAATCTGTGGATTCTTTTTACCATTAACAATCAGATGGTAAAAGTTTCCTTAGAGAAGATTTTACCCTGAATTCAAACCTAATGAAGCTTAAACAGTGCCCTTGTAGGACTTCCGGATAGAGTGTATCAGTTTATCAGCTAAAGGCATATTTTACCGTCTCTATACTCCAGTTAACGATTAGTCGATTACCAAATTAGTTGGCCATTATTTTGATAATCTATTAATCAGTAATCTGATTGTTTCATGCCTAGATCCTCTAGAATGTTTTTTTTCATGACGTGTTTTTTTTGCTCCATCCCATTAATCCTCACTAGTTTCCCTGTCTGCAGAAGAAACAAAGCACCCCCTCAGCTAATTTTCTTTAGCAACTTTTAAAGCCTTAATCTGCAGCGTTAATTTTCTTCAACTTGCATTTTTCCAAGTACACCACTCGCTAACTGGAGTATACGGTAGAGACTATATGTCTGTTGTTGACAGACCAACCCACTTAGAGCAGTAATTGATCCAAAATTCTAAAAAAATATATACAAATATTTAGGATTTAACCCCTTAACACACACCTTTTTATAGCTTTTGCACAAACTAATTGCATAACAAAAATACCATTGACCAGTAGAGCGGTAATTTACCCAAAATTCTAAAAAAATATATATAAATATTTAGGATTTAGCCCCTTAACACCCACATTTTTATAGCTTTTGTAAAAACGAACTGCATACCAAAAATGCCAATAACCAGTAAAATAATATTATAAATCTTACATGCTTGTGATATATCTCATTTGAAAGCTACGACCGTTTAGTTTCTGGAAAATGTGTACAGACCGGTTTTACACAACCAGAGCTTTGGGACTTTAAACATGTCTTTTTTTTTCCTAAAATAAAAAAGTGTGAAAAACTTCAGATTTCTAGTCATAAGCATTGTGAATCTATGACATTTTTTTCCTGTGTACAAGGTTCATTTGACACATCAATGCCAAATATAGACCAAATGTTGCAAACTGGTTTATTTGAATTTTATGAATAATTAGACCATAAAAAAATATTTTTCGTCTGTCAATATGCTCTATCCAGAACAACTCAAGTGGGAAAGTTTTAGTTTTATTTGGTTCAATTTCACATAACTTCTTTAAGGAAATTATGGAAAACCAATTACTATAGTTCGAAAACATAATAATAATCAAAGAGAGTAAAAAAAAGTTTGTCACAGTTTACAGTTTTTTCTACTGGATAAATGTCTTGAAACCATTTGTCCAACAAAATCTTAGCTAATAAGAAATGAGGCACTAATGACTCCCCTTTCAGAGGCATAGACCATTATCGGCTATTGCAGGCTAACTAAGACCTCAACGACTCCCCATTACTAAGGGGTGGACCCGTTCTTCAGGTTTAATGTGCATGTTTTCGAAGCCGAAACAAAGCTTTGTTGGGCTACTTTATAGAAGCTTGTAACTTGATGCTATTTCTGACATTTTGAATTGAAAAAGCCTCCTGGATGGGAAGCTAAACGTCTTCAAAACCTGGAAAACAAATCTAGTGGATTGTTTTGTGACTTTTTTGGAATGACTATGACCTGGGTGACTGAGCGCCTTGTTAGGAGAATTATCAGTTAAAGCTGAAGTCTGTAAGTTTTTAAAAATCACTTTTTTGTCATATTGGCTAAAACTGTCCCTATGCCCAGACAGCAGTACATGAGATATGTAACCTGTGAAAAAAACTGCTTCAAGTGGTACCCCCTACTGCCTGTATTTCAATCTGGAAAGAATAATTCGGGACGAGTCAAAACAACCAATCACAGCCAGAGGAGCGTCTGATGGAGTGTCAATCACAGCTCACACACGCTGAATCCAGCCCCCCCCCCCCCCCCCCCCCCCCCCCCCCCCCCCCGCCCCCCCCTCTGGTCGCATGCGGTAGCCGCGCAGATGCTGTGAGAGGGGTGGAGCTTGGAGGTGGGGCATGAGTGAAGCAGAGAGGGTGGGGGAGTGGCGTGAAACCTGTTTTTCTTCAAATTTTCAGTCGAAGTCTGCTCTCTCCTCAATGTTACAGACTGCAGCTTTAAGTTGCCCTTGATTTGAATAGGTAAATGAGATAATTTGCCAATGGAATGAGTATTTTTACTCTTAAAATAAGACAATTAGAAAAAATGCACTTGAAACAAGACATTGCAATTTGTGTTTTCTTATTATAAACCTAAATTGTCTGATTCCATTGGCAAAATGCCTCTTTTATCTCCTCAATTCAAGAACAAATGCACTTGTTTTAAGAAAAAGGGACTTATTTGGATTTTTATTTTTTTTCCATTGTGAAGCCATGGATGTCAGCTCTTCTGCTAACGTGTATGATGTAATGATGTGGCAAACTGGAGATGTATAAAGGCCTCTTTAACTGTTAATCTGGGCCACTTCCTGAAAGGTCAGCCCGGGGGTGTGCAGCTGCGCAGCTGCCTTCTGTAATTCTAAGCAACTTCTTTGATCTGACTAAGATTACAATTTCTATCAGGATCTGCTGTCATGTCTCCTGGTTATTCAATACATATAAGTTATGAAGTATTATTTAAACAGTTTGTCCTGAGTGATCTCTTTTCAGGAAAAAAACCAGAGAGAGAAAGCTTCAAGGTGTAGACACAAAGCGCCTATCTTTCACAATCTTCACCTCCATTTCGAAGCTACATGAACCTCCTGAAACATATGAACTCTGACCTTCTAAATTAGAGGTCTTCAACCTTTTCCAGGCCAAGGACCCCCAAACTGATGGCGAGATTGAGCGGGGGACCACCAATTATATATATTGTATGAAATTGAGTTTTATCAAACTGGTCCTACAGTCACTCTGTCACAAATGGAGTCATGTAACGATGCCATTTCACCCTGGGATTATTAAAGTATTTCTTTTCTTTTAACAGTGTCCTATCTGGCAATGTGACTATAAGAATAATTGTCTTGATGCCAAAAAGAGCCCAACAGATTTACTTTTCTGTTCCGCTTGATTTATGCATATAAATAGCTATATTATAATTAATGCAGGGAGTATTACAGATTATATGGACATTGCAATGTAAGTAGAACGGGAAAAGAAAAACAGAAAAAAATGAGAAAAGATGAAAGAAAGAGGAGATAAAAGGGAGATAACGACAAAACATCTTTAGTCTGCTTCAACACTTGCAAAGAGATGTAAAAAGAACAGCGCAACCAAGAGATATAGTATAAGAGATACAATGAAGTAACACCTTGATACTATCGCTCAAGCATAAGTAGTATTATTTAATCTGACATGGCAGCTGAAAAATCTGAAATGGGCCTTCTGTATGGAAGTGAATCTCTAAGTACCTGGAAACAAACACCTGTAGTTATTTGTAAGAATGCACATGTGCATTTAAAGTTTACCCAAAAGAAAAAATATGCTCAATATTAAAGTATTTCGGATTCTGATTCCTCATTGATGGGACAGGTGTTGTGAATGAAACGGTGCCCAGTTTGAAAGAGCTCCTATGTGTCACTGAAAGTGTGCATTGATGACAGAAAGACATTTTCTGCCTCCATTTATCTGTTTACTACAGTGTGTTGAATTCATGTTTATGTGTATTTAAAGACATTTCAATTAGTTGAAAAAATTGCAGGGGGGAATATAAAAGAAAAGTCTAATCAACCAAAACTTTCGCGACCCCCATGCAGTACCTCAATGGTCCCCCTAGGGGTCGCGGACCCCCTGTTGAAGACCTTAATTTTATGAAACATTTCATCCAGTACAGGGAGCTCAGTGTCATTCTCCATTATCCAACAGTCTAATAAGCTGCTGAGCATCAGCCTTGCCAACGTGACGTAGAATAATCTTTTTGTGCTCCCAGTGGGGAAATTCAGGACATGGGGAAATCTAACAGAGCAGTTTAGCTAACTCAGACTAGCAGTCTGTTGGTAAAGCAGTTATCCATCTGTGGACTTAGTAGGTTATCTTTGCCAGGGTTCAGGTTGTGCCTAGCAACTGGACAGCGTTGCTAGAAGGAGAGCTAAAGCAGATGACTCATTAGGGAACACTTTAATTGAACGTTAGCTACTGTTAGGTTGGTTATCAAAGCGTTTCAACTACTTTAACGGTAGTTTTCGAGTCATAATCTTAACTAGAGCACGAATGTTGTTTAATGCATGCTAACTATACCTTTGAGGTATTTTTAGCCGCCTAAGAAGCATTTTTCTGTGGATTTAAGCAAGTTCAGTTATATAAAGATGCTCTGTATGAGCAGCGGTAGTAAGAGTGACTTTAGTTTCAGACTCACCTCGCTGAAGATGTCGTGAAGGTATCGAAACGGCGGCCTGCTCAGTAGTTTCTCCGTCAGCGGGGGTTTCTTTATCACTTTTCCCAGTGTGTCCTGGGTCTTTTTCACCACCGCCGCGTTCATTGCAGCGGTGGAAAACGCAGCGCGGCACTTTGAGCGAAGGAAACTGAAGCAAAACCTACTCCGAGCAGATATAGTTGGAGTCGGCTTCTCGGCCCGGTTGCTATGTCAATACACGCCAATCCCACAGTGCATTGCTAAAGTTAAGATTGCGCAGGCGCAAGGGCTTACGGTCGCAATGCATTCTGTCTCCATAGCAACAGCTAACAGCTAGCCGGCTCCATAGCAACAGCTAACAGATAGCCGAGAAGAGTTTTTTTTTTTTGGACAGCGATCCATCCCGGAAGCACGGTCCGTTCTGCGCATGCGCCATCAGGCAATTTGCGCAAGCGCATCCAGATGTATATCTGGGTCGTCCTCGATTTTATTTTGTTATAAAAGACATAAATGATCTTTTCCCTCCACCAAAATAGTAAACGTTCTAAAATATATAATGTGCTAAAGATTAATAATGTATATCCTGAGAAAATGAATGCCTTAAAATCCTTTCTGTTTTATCACTCATTTCTGCTAGTTTAAAGTCAGAATTCTGAGATTAATGTCAGAATTCTGAGTTTTTCCATATTAAACTGAAATAATATTTGAAAATCCTATTCTGAAAAAGAAAACTTTTTTTTCAGTGGGCCCTAATCCTCTTTTGTATAAAAGACATTGCCCTTTTATTTATTTATATTTTCCAGGTTTTCAGTCAGAAACTTGAAAACTCACCAATTACAGAGTCTTATAAAGCTTAATTTAGCTTAATGTTGCAAATTAGAGATACAAGACTAAAATAATATATCAGTTGATGTTATACACTTATCTGCTTTGCAGATTGAAGAATAGGGAAATTATTGCTTTTTAAACTTGATTTTTTTATTCTTCAATATGTCCGACCCTCAAAAATGATAAATAGAATAGAACTTTACTGATCTCATAATGGAGAAATAAAATAAAAGCAAATCCTATACTTTTTCTATGTTTAACTGAATTTTTTGCTTCCTTCCTAAGAAACTAGTTAAAGCAAAAAGCACACAGGCCATCATTTAAATAACTGTGAAATTATCTTTAGAAGCTAGATCCCAAAGGAGGCATTCTGCAACTGCAGCCCCAAAGCCAGAAGAGGCTCTTCTACTGTGGCTTTCAATGACTTGACCAAAATTGGTATATGTGAGATGTGTTTTAAAATCTAATGATGATAGATAAATAAACATTAGCTGTAGCAGTAATTTACATTAATAACATAGAAAAAATCAGAATGATAAGTAATTCCTTTGTCTTCAACCCTCATGCTTTTTAACATAATTTGAGAAGATCTGATCAGTAATAATGAATTTATTCCCTTTTCCGCAATTTTTTTTTATTTCATTTACCTTTAAAAAGAAAAACATATATATTTTTTCCTTTCATTTAAAAAAAAGCTGATACCTGATTTTGTAAAAATAAGCTATTTTCTTTTAAGGGAGTCTTTCAGCTTTTGTGGCTCTAAACTTTAAAATATGCTGACCTCTGCACCTTAATAATCTTTAGCTATATTTAGAATCTACACCAAAGTTATGCAGTTATGTTTCTCACAATGGGGGACTTTTAGTGATTATTTGCCCTGATAGTTTGTAGGCATTAATTCACAAAACACTTTGTTACAGTAATTCATTTATAGCATTAAAAACTGGATGGAGGAGTGAATTTGCTAGAATAGTAACATACCTTGGATCTTATGTTTCTAACTTTTAACTTAACGAATAAGGCTTACCTAACCAGACCTACATGTCTGACTCTGGTTTGACTGTGATTCACAAGGTTCTTATTGGTCGGCTCCCTGACTGCAGGTTGTTAAACCTCTTTTGCAGCACAACCAGCTAAAATCATCAACCTTCCACTATAGTGCTAGACAAGTGGAATGCTGTGATTAGTTTTAGTTAAACATCCCATTGAGGCTTGTTGGGCGTGTTGAGGTGTGCGCATGCATATATTTGTTTCTTGGTGAGTAATATTTCCTTTGTCTCGTACTCATAGCTATTATATGTACTGGTTTGGCAAGTTTAGTTTAAAAACTGACAAAAGGGAAACAAAAAGGAGTTGAAGCACAGATTCTTGCTTCATGCTGACAAGGTAAGACATCCAAGTATTTCCAGAAGACAAAATTATGGTGGTGTTTTTCTAAGCAATGATAAGTACTTCCATCAGAAATATTCTGAGTAAAAGATTATTAATATTTGACTTAGTTAGGCATTTGCACAGCACTAACTATAGCAGTTTATTTCAAAAGTTACTGTTTTTTTAAACATAATACTCTATCAAGATTTCTCTACTTTGAATGTGGAAAAGTCAATATTTATGATAAAGACATAAACCTTACATAAATGCTGTTAATATGGTAGTTATGGAAGCTTTTTATCTTATTTATTTGAAGGAAATGCTTCAAATTGTGTGAATTTACTGCCTTGTTCACCACTCTGGTGAATGCTAGGCGTGTCTGACTTGTTTGGTGACTCTGAATATCTTTGAAGTTAAAGCTATGTGCTGCCTGCCTTTCACACTTGTATTAAACAGCTGATCATTACTGTGGTTCTGTTGAAGTTCTGGGAGCGATGTTCCGCTGGGTTTTGCTTGCTTTCTTCATCAGCCTCTGTGCCACTGCTGAAGCACAGAAAAAGAAGGCGAAGACTCAGACTCAGAATCTGTCGAGAGGTAGGCGAGTCTTCTTTTGGAAGTTCACATTACCATGAAATCTTCATAGCATTTAGATTTTAATAATTAGGGAAAGAAGATTCTGTAAAACCTTTTTGAAAATGTATTGGGTGTCAATCATTACCCAATATTTTGTTTTGTTTTTTCCTGTAGGATGGGGGAAAACAATTAAATGGATCAAAAGTTATGAGGATGGCCTGTCGGAATTGGGCAAGAGGTAAGACTTTTCACCCATTGCTAGGTTACTTTTTCATCATTATTTTGCTTGATGGGATTGTTTATCCTATGTCTAATGATCGCTAGCTTTGTTCTTATCACACACATGTAAACGGCTGGCTTTCATCAATCACTAGACATTTAAAAATGGGCTTTTCCGCTCGTTTTGTCAATAGATTTATTACATTTGCTCCATCAATGTGCTTACTATGCTGAAGAACCTACTGAATTGTTTCACTTTGTTTTCATTCTCCCAGTCAGAAACCATTGATGGTCATTCATCATCTAGACAACTGCCCACACAGTAAAGGTACCGCAGTTTCTTTGGCTTTTTTTTTTGTTTTATTCCATGAAAAAGCAAACATTGCATGTACAGATGTAGATCTGCAGGCTTTCTTTTGTTCTCCTCACTGCTTTGACTTCACTGGGAGGCCAGTGCTTGTATCCTTTTATACCTGCAGAGCAGGTAATGGAGTAGGTTGGATTTCTGGTTATAAATCACACAGCTGGTTTTCTGGAGCTCATTTGAAGTCTCAACCACAGAGCAGAGACTGCCTTTTCCTTTTTTTAAGCTATATTCTAATTAGCATCCCTTGCAAAGAGGTGTCAGAGGCATTAAAATCAACCATATATTACAGTGGGAAAATTACACTGAAGTTTTTGAAATTTTATTAACTTGAGTATATTTATGTTGAAAATCAATCACCAGTTTCAGGTGTATTGACAGCGCTTCAGTCAATACTTTTTACAACTCCACCAGGGAGCTAGCTTTCTCTAACAACCATTTATACTGCAATACTGGTGCTCTGTGAAAATTTGATACAGTATTTGACCATCATTCATAATCCTGCATCTTCTGCTATGCATCAATAGGATTTATGTTTAAGGATTCAATTTTTTTATGCAAGAAGGTTGCATTTTTCTTCATTTTTCACCATTATCATTCTTAAATATCCCATTTAGATCCACTTTCCCATTCTAAGTGGGTTATTTGGATTTTCATTTCAAATCTGTGGATATTTTTAAGTAGTTTGTGTTGCCATAACTTAAAAAGCTTCCAGGGCTTTGGATAGAGGAACATGCCTAGGGCTGCAACTAACGATTATTTTGTTAATCAATAAATCTGTCAGTAATAATTTGATTAATCGATTAATAACCAGATATCAAAAGGCTCCTCAAAGAATATGATTTACAGAATTGAACCAGGTGAAACTGGATAGAGCATATTGACAAATGAAAACTATTATCTTAAATGCAAAATATTAACATATATTTTTGTGCTGTGACAAAATGTTAACATCTAAGATTAAACCAAATTATTTCAACAGCTCTGAAGGAGGCATTTGTTGCTGATAAGTCCATCCAGAAAATGGCCAAAGAGAACTTCATCATGCTCAACGTGGTGGTAATTACATCTGTTTAATTCTGAGGTGAAATTGTGTCTTCTGGGGAAAAAAAATACCACTTCTTATAGAAATAGAATTATTGTACAAGATATAACATTACTTTTCATGAATATACGGTTGGTTATTCTGCAGTTTTTCATCTGCAATGCTTTCACACTATATTTTTTTCCTCTTGTAAGTTAATGCAAGCTTATCATAGCTAGTTATTATAACTGTTGTCATCACTGTTGTTCTCCAGGAGGAAACTGGGGACAAGAATCTGGCACCTGATGGGTATTATGTTCCCCGAATCCTCTTTGTTGGTAAATACTTTCATCAGTTATAATTACATAATGATGTTAAACAAAGCTCTAAGACAATCACTTATGAATCTGGGATACTTTGACTATGTCTAATGAGGGATAACAAGCCCCAGAAAGTGGCATCATTTGAATATAATCGTAGCACGGCATTAGCAGAACGTGTTCTCTGCTGCACAGCTCAACATTAATGCTGATATCATGCAAGTGGATATCATGTGCAGGTGGAAGAGGTTTTGTAAATAGCACTGGCAGTGTTGCATTGACGCGGCAATGGTACATTTTGGGTCTTTGTCACATTTCAGGGTCCAGTTAAGCTTAAACCTTTGCTCTTGCAGACACACTCATTAGAATTAACATAGGATGGTTGAGCTGGACAGGTCACACTGCAGCAAAGCCCCCCATACCATGAAACTTCCACCTTCATGCTTCATTGCTGTTTTATTTATTTATTTATTTATTTATTTATTTATTTATTTATTGTTCTTTGTTCTGGTTTCCAAACAATTCTTTTACACACTCACTTCTCTGAAAACCTATTTTCTTCTTCCAACCTTCTGATCCTGGTACGACTCTCAGACAAACTGCAGTCAAAGCTTCATGTTTTTTCTTAGTAACAATGTTTTTTTTCCTTGCAGTCTCTTGCTGGATGTATACTTT